CCAGCCGCTCCTCGGAAACTCTACACAGGGTCACTATGAGTTGGAACTGACTCGACAACAATTAACAACAACATCAATATCATATTGTGCAGACATCACTTCAGTCTGTTTTCAAATTATTCTGTTAACAGGAATTCAATGTCCCTTAAATAAAGGCTCTCTTGTTCATCCTCCCTCGTACCCTTGTTAACCAGGTAAACTTTGGTCTTTATACATTTCTCTCTGTGTAATATAAGTGGGATTGTACAGCATTGGTCCTTTTGTGACTGACTTATTTTGCTCACCATGATGATTTCAAGGTTCATCCATGTGGTGTCATGCACAAGGACATCATTTCTCCTCATGGCTTAGTAATACCCCCTTGTATGTGTTTACCACTTACTGTTTATCCCTTCATCTGTGGATGGACACTTGGATTGTTTCCACTTTCCTGGCAGTTGTAAGCAGTGGGTCTCAGTGTACGAGCATTTTCCTCTTTTTAGCATTTCGTAGTCATTTCGTAGACTTTCTGGAGCACTTGCTCTGGAGTCCTAGATGTTCAGATAGCAAAGAGGACTGAGGCAGCATTACCGTTTCATGAAAACGGTCGTCAGGTCTGACTCATAATGATCCTGTAGGACAGAGGCTAACTGGCTCACAGGGTTTCCAAGACTAAGTTTTGTAGAAGTGGACACCCTATCATTCTCCTATGGAGCAGCTGGTAAGTTCCAACCACTGATCCATATCAGTTGTTGTTAAGTGCTGCTGAGTGTGTTCTGACTCACAGTGACTCTGTGTAGGGTTTCTAAGGAGCAGCTGGTAGGTTTGAACTACCTACCTTCTGGTAGGCAGTCAACTGCTTATCCTACAGCAACACACCATGACTCCAATCCCTTCAGTTTCCAGTGAATGTTAACCACTGTGGCACCTAGACTCCTTAACTCTTACTTCGACGCAGAAGTTAAAGCTGGTGGAATTTCACACACATTCAAACACACACAGCCTTAACAACCACGGACAGATATTTACATCAGCACCTTCTTAGAATCCATCCTGTCCTCGTTGGATGAAGGGCCAGGGACAGACAGGGTCACTGCACTTATAGCACAGCTTGCCAGCGGCGCCAGAGTGCCTTCTGTCTTTACTGAGTGCTGTAGGTGAAGGCAGGCTGTACAGCTATGGAGACTGTTGTTGGAAGCATTATTATTTTCTCCTTGTGTTTGATTAGTGGACTTTCTGCCAATGCCCACACCACACCCAGTCATGGTATTGTATCTGACAACCACCACCATCGTCACTGATATTTGCTTGAACTTGATTGTAGTCCTAATGCACTTGAAACTTGACCCTGACTTTACCCCCACTTGTGTTTTTATGGTGTTGCTAGTTGGTGCAAACAGTTAACATGATTGGCTGCTAATCTAGAGGAGGTAGATTTGAGTCCATGCAGAAGCACCTTGGAAGAAAGATCTGGTGATCTCCTTCCCAAAAATCAGCCAGCAAAAACCTTGTGGATCACAGTCCTACTCTGATAGAAATGAGATCACCAGGAGTTGGAATCCGTGCTACAACTGATGTTTGTGTTTGTATGGAGAATCAGCAAGAAACCCTACCCCAAATAATTCTTATTATTCTAAATTTGCTTTCAAAGTAGAGCAATTAATTTCAGGCAATTCCTAATGTACTCTGCTTCAGCTGCCAAGGGTTAGGCTCTTTGATGATCTTTTGTGTGAGGGCCGGAGTTTGTCAGTCTTCTATGTATTTCTTTCTCTGCTGGC